GTTATTTATCAGGGAAAAAATTCTCCGGCCTCCTTCAAGCAGGCACCGGGGGACAGGTTTACCTAGTAAAAGAGAACCCTGGGCCCGCGCCCTTTCCGGGAAAAGTGGCCCGCACCCTGTGATTTATCGATCGGGATTTCAAAAACAAGCGTTTCGCTCGAGACATCCTCAAATTTTAATTCGCCGGCCTCAAACGCCGGCCTCAAATACATGCGTTTCCTCGAGACATTCCTCAATTTTGCATCCATCGACCTCGTTTTTTATCATGGGAATAATTTACGCCGGCCTCCACTCATTGTTGGCATCCGGGGGGAACAGGTGTTACTTACTAAAAGAGAACCTGGGCCCATGCCCTTGCCGGGAAAAATCGCCTGCCTCCCTCAAGTTGGCTACGGGGGACAGGTTTTCCTTCTAAAAGTGAACTGGGCCGGAGCCTTTCGGGGAAAAACAAGCGTTTCGCTCGAGACATCCTCAAATTTTAATTCGCCGGCCTCCTTCGACCTCGTTATTTATCAGGGAAAATATTCGCCGGCCTCCCTCAAGTTGGCACCGGGGGACAGGTTTACCTACTAAAAGAGAACCCTGGGCCCACGCCCTTTCCGGGAAAAAGAGGGAAACGGGCGAAGGGGTAGCGGTATGGGTACCCTTTTCTCTTCTGAAGCTTGAGGGCGAACCCGGGGCCACCACCAGGGGGCATGACAGTCGCGCTCGGATGACCACCACGGGGCCTCCCAAGACGACCCAGGCGGTGGCATCTGAGCGAGAGGGAGGGGCCGTGGTTGCAGCACGCTTTGCCAACAGGTCGGTGCGCATGGCTCACTCGCCCGACCACCGAGGCCCTCCTCCTTCCTCCTCCCTCCTCCCTCCTCCCTCCTGCCTCCTCCCTTCTGTCTCCTTCCTCCTGCCTCCTCCTCCTCCTCCTCCTCCCTCCTTCTCCTCCTCCTCCTGCTCTACTTCCTCCTCCTCCTCCTCCTCCTCCTCCTCCTCCTCTTCCCCCTCCTTATTCTCCTCCTCCTCCTTCTCCTCCATCTCCTCCTCTTCTGCCTCCTCCTCCTCCTCATCATCATCATCATCCCCCTATCCTCCTCCCTCCTCTCTCCTCCTCCTCCTCCTTCCTCCTCCTCCTCCTCCTCTCCTCCTCCTCCTCATTCCTCCTCGCCTACTCCTCTCCTCCCTCCTATTATCCTTCTCCCCTCCTCCTCTGCTCCTGAGCCTCCTCCTCTTCCTTCCTCCTCCTCTGCCTCCCTCCGCCTCCTCCTCCTCATTCATCTTATCTTCCTTTTCCTCAACTTCTCCTCCCCCCCGCCTCCTCCTCCTCCCTGCCCCTCCTGCTCCTCCCTCCCCCTCCTTCCTCCCTCCTCGTCAAGTTCTTTCATTGTCCTCCTCTGCGCGTTATGCTGCGCAGAACTATCGTCTGGGACGGTCCCATGTGACTGTGCTCCTCCTCTCTGGGAATGGGAGCCAAAGACCAGGTCGGATAACTGCGCATCGTTGCCCCCCTCCGATCCTCCTCAGGCTTGTCGCTATCCCCGAGTATGCTCTCGCCCACCTTCGGTGGCAACTCTTGGGAGCCTCCCACACCATCTTAATCGACGCTAGTCGACGCCAATCGGCACTCAGCCGGCGCTGTCTCATCGACTCCCAGACGCTAATCGACGCTAGTGCACTCTAGAAACAAAATTAACTGGGTACACGAGGCTCCCATGTTTTACTACCGAATCCACCGTCTCGAACACGCCGAGGGCACCCGTGACGTCACCGAGCTTCAGGGCGCTCTTGCCCCCCTCGGCGGCCTCGCTGGTGGTCAGGTTGCCGACGACCAGGGCGAGCTTGAGGGGATCGCTGGACTCTTCCTTGGAGGCACAAACAAACGGCTTAAACACAAGGCTTCGGCTGCCCGCGAACGGAGCTCTGAAAACTTGTGTTGGCGCCGTTTATGGGGAATCGAACTCAATACACCGACGCGTCTTCCGGCCTTGCACTGCAATTTGCACAGGAGAGCGGATCCTGGTGTATAGGATCGTGGTATATACATTGCCCGCTGGTCCCAGAGAAGAACAACTTATACACTACACCGCCCAAGCGTCGACCCGAACCCTCGAAAGTCCCGGGATTGAAACACAGCCAGCCATTTCGACATGGTCAGCCGACCGTCCCACAACGACCCCCGTCGCGGGCAGCCACCGCGCGCCGGAGGCGCTCCGACCCCCGTCGCGGCGCGACGACGAGGCGAGGTTGACCCCCGTCGGAGTACCCCCTCCCGCTCATCAAAACACGCGGAATGATATATCTGCTCCAGCTTTCCAGTTCATCTCGCCGAGTCCTTGAACGGCACCCACTTGGGCTCGATCATGGCGGGCGAGCGCGCCCTCTTGGCCTTCTCGTCCTTCGCGGCGAGCCCCTCGCCGTCGGCCGTGTTACGGAGCATCACGTCCTCCAGCACCGCGCGGTACAGCCAGACAACCTCGGCGACCACGTGCACCTCGGGGCCGCCCAAGAGGGGGGCGCGTCCAAGAGGTGGGGGCGCAAATCATGGCTGGCGGCATGTGCGCGGCCCGGGGAGGGGGGGCCAGGGTTGTGTTGAAACAAGAGGAGTCGCCATGAAATCTACGGAGATATCATGGCCCCCGCCATGATCTCCACCCCCCCCCAGTCATCACCCCCCTCTCTGTCTGCCGCCCCCGAACCTCGGGCGCTTGCTTCCACTTGTGGACGGCCCACGGCAGGGCAGTGTCGTCCCGCGGCTCGCGGAAAAACTTGAGCATGGCTGCGTGCTCCGGCCCGGCCTCCAGGATCCGCAAGGCTTCACTCAAGGGGCACAAGGACACACTACTAATTCACGCAAATAAAATGATGTCCTATACTTTCTGATATTTTCTGGGTGTTTGTCTTCCCGCCCAATTCCCTAAATTTCCCATATGTTCTTGGGGGTCGACGATTAATTGTGTCTGTGCGTGTGTTTTCCCCCTCCGGAATCACATCGGGAAGCGGCATCGGATCGAGTCTGTGCGTCGCAGCGGGCTGCGTCGGCACGGAGTCGAGATCAAATCGAGTCCACTGCGCCCAGGCACATTGCTTTTTTCTGCCTGAACCCATGAGCGGAGCCTTCGAGGGCGCTGCAGAATCCCAAAGGCCTTCCCCGCGTGGGCGAGGAACGAACCACGCTCCCGTGGTAACTGCCCAAACGAGCGGTCACCCACGGCGGTGAGGAGCACTGGCATGGAGGGGTCAGGCCATCGCGGCGCCACCGCGAGAGGACGACCTCCAAAGAAGCGAAGTTGATACTCAATCACCAACGTTCTACACGATACGAACCCACCCCAAATCGCAACGGTGAAACTTGGTGGGGAAGAAGCGGGGGGGAGGTGGGCGGAGGGGGTCGGGAAGAAAGGAACCTAGACATACGCGATGTGTGCGCATCCCCGATGGCCAGCTGGCCATTGTAGAAAACACGCAGCGCAAGCCAGGCACAGCACCAATAATAGCGACCAGTCACAATAGCTCCGGACTCGGGCGGGGTAAGAGGAGGGAGCCAAGCAGGGGCACGAGAGAAAAGCGACGAACTCGTGCGTGCGAAATCCAGCAGTGGGCTGACGACACACAAGGTCCCACACGAGCAAGCCAGATGACAGGATCTGAACACATGATTGCTGTAGGGCGTGCGCAACAATGACTCCCCGAACCCTGCCAAGCAGGGGCGGGAAGGACAGGGTGCGACCGCCTGTGGGTTGAGCGGCCTAGCAAGAGAAATAATACGAAGAGGGGAGAAAGGGGGGAGGCGAAGAGCGAAGGCCGCCCATGGAACTCGACGCCGGGCCCCCCTTAGTCGTGCATAAGGATGTTCAAAACGAGATGAAGACGCAGTGCCGCATACAATGCTTAACCTTATGGTCTGCCGCAGGCGTTGGTGCTGGAGTCGGTGCCGGCGTCCGTGCTGTTGGCATTGGTGCCGGAAAGGGGGCTGGAGCAGGTGTCGGAATTGATGTCGGGGTCGGGGCTGAGGCTGGAGCAAATGTCCTCATAATCATTGGCCATTTCGTGTCTCGCGTGATTTTTGTTCCGTTCCGGCCCATGCGTCTATTTACCTTGACTGGAGCTGGGGAGGTCGTCGGCGGCGGAGTCGGCGAGCTGGTCTGTGCGGGAGTCAACGAGCGCGTCGGGGAACCAGTTCACTCACGTCCTTGTGGGAACCACCATAGAGAAGGCGCGTACTCGGCACAATCGGCATTCACTTTACCTCCAGCTCCATCGTCGGTGCCTGAGCAGGTATGCGGAGTGGGCGCTGCCGTGGGAACAGGGCAGGAGATAGTCAGGACCGAACCTCTCATAGATAACCAACTGACAGCGGCCAGATCTGGACGTAGCGCGCCTTCTGCATGGACCGAATAAAGAAATGCCCTGCGCTATGGTGTCCCGATCCGAATGACCCATCAAACTGCCGTCTACAGTAAACGAGGAAAGGCCATCCTGCGAGATGTCCACGTCGTAGCTGCTCACCCATTCGTCCAAAATCAGATGACCTTGAGTCACATAACCAGCGACCCACGTCACACTCCCAAGGTCCCTCTGCGTCCCAACGCCAAGCAAGTTGTCCTGAGGGCGCTAAGCGGACGGAGGCGCAGACGTCGGAGTCGGCGTCGAAGCTGGCGAAGCAATTTGCGTAGGCGCTGGCGTCGGTGCCGACGTAAGCGCCGACGACGGTGTCGGCGTCGATGCCAGCGACTATACCCGGGTAGGCGCCAGCGTCGGCGACGGCGTGGGCGCCAACGTCGGTGTCGGCGTCGGTGCTGGCGACGGTGCTGGCGCAGGTGCGGGCGTCAGAGTTGGGGTCGGCGTCGCCGGTGGTGACGGCGTCAGTGCTGGCAACGGGGTTGGCGTAGGCGCTGGCGTCAGTGCTGTGGACGGGGCCAACTTCGGAATTGGCGTCGTTGTTGGCGATGGTGTTGACGTAAGTGCCAGCCGGCTTCGATGCTAGGGTCGGCGCCAGCGACGGTGTCGGCCACGGTGCTGGCGACGATGCTGGCGGAGGCGGCGGCGTCGGTGTGGGCGTAGGCGCCGACGTCGATGTCGGCGTCGGAGCTGGCGACGGTGCTGATGTAGGCGCCGGTGTCGGTGCCGGTGAAGGCGCCGACGTCGATAGCGGCGTCGGTGCTGGTGTCTGTGCCGGCGTAGGCGCTAGCGTTGGTGCCGGCGTAGGCGCCGACGTCGGTGTCGGCGTCGGTGCTGGCGGCGGTGTTGGCGTAGGTGCGGGCGTCGGTGCCGGGGTCGGCACCACCGTTTGTGTCGGCCTCGTTGCTGATGACGGTGCCGGCGTAGGCGCCGGCTTCGGAGCTGGCGACGGTGCTGGCGCAAATGTCAACGTCGGTGCTGGCAACCGTGTCGGCGTCGGAACTGGAGACGGCGCTGGCGTAGGCGCTGGCGTGGGTGCCGTCGTAGGCGCCGACATCGGTGACGGCTCTGGTGCTGGCGACGGTGCTGACGTAGATGCCAACGTCGGTGCCAAGGTCGGCGCTTGCGTCGGTGTCTGCCGCGGCGTTGGCGACGGTTCTGGGGTAGGCGCCGGAGTCGGTGCCGGCGTGTATTCGGCCACCCCGTTAGGTGAGAGCTCCAACACGCCACAACAATGCGTGGCCCTTTTTTGCGGGGTACTGCGCGTGTGCAATAACATCCGTGATAACATATCGTGTTTTTTCCCCTCGTCTTCGCCCTTGGGTCTCGCCAGGGGTGGCACGATTAGCAGGCTCGGGCCGGACAGAAACGTAAGTAACCACGTTTACCACAAGCAGTGGAATGGGCACGACAGCTTGCACCGGAGTCTCGGGCACTTTCTTCCAACATAATATCAATGGCGGAAGCAGATGGGCCTCCAGGATCAAATCACAACTGTCGGCGTCGGAGCTAGAGACGGCGCTGGCGTAGGCGTTGGCGTCGGCGGCGTCGGTGCCAGCGTAGGCGCCGACGTCGACGTCGGCTTCGGTGCTGGCGACTGGGCTGGCGTATGCGCCGGCGTCGGAGCCGGCGTGGGACGTGCCGACGTCGGTGTCGGAGTCAGAGACGGAACTGGAGACGGTGCTGGGGTCGGCGCTGGCTTCGATGCCGGGGTCGGCGCCGCCGTTAGTGACGGCGTCGGTGCTTGCGTCGGTGCTGGCGTCGGTGTGGGCGTAGGCGCCAGCGTCGGGGTCGACTTCGGTGTCGGCGTCAATGCTGGCGACGGTGGTGACGCAGATGCCGGCGTCGGTGTCCGGGTCAACGCCTGCGTCGGCGTCTGCGTTGGCGACGGTGCTGGCGTAAGCGCCGGGGTCGGTGCTGGCGCGTAGTCGACCGCCAACCCCGTTAGGTGAGGGCCCCAGCACGCCACGACAAAGTGAGGCTCAAGGGCTCAAGTGAGGAATCCAACGGGTTCGCGTCGTGCGGCCGACACCCGTCGTGCACCTCAGCGTCGTCCTGCTGGGTCCCGTCGTGCTGCTCGATGTCGTGCTGCTGGAGTCGAAGCGCTCGCCGTCTGGCGGGGGAACTGGAAACGGAGTATGGGCAAGAGCCCGTGGTGTTGAAGCTGGAGCCGGGCACACATGAGGGAATTGAGTTGCTGGAGTCGGAGCCGAGGCCATCACTGGGAAGGGAGCTGGAATCGAAAACGACGCTGGAGTCGGTGCTGGGGTCGGAAACTGAGCCGGCGTCGGGAAGGAAGCAAGAGTTGAAAAGGGTGTCGTTGTCGACAGGGCATCTGCAAGAATGATCGGTTGAACCCTCGGAGGCCTCGCCGCAGCCCAGAACGCAGCGACTATGCGTCGAATGCCTCTGTTGAAAACGTCTGCACGTGCACCATCTGTTCTCGGGGACGGACAGACCTCCCTTTAGTAAAACGTGGTTTAGTGAAAACGACCTGAGGCCCAAACCTGGCGGGCGCAAGCCTGGAAAATAACCGCCGCGACGCCCTCTCGAGAACCGAAAACGGACAATTCACTGATCGACGTGTCACTGTTGGGGGTTCTGTCCGCTGTCCGCCCCCGATGTTCCCCAAACATGATGGACCCACGAACCCGGAAAGGGATATAGACATGTGGAGCATGGACACGTTTTCATGATACCCAACTGGGCAACACCTCACGAAACATCCCACGAGACACCTCACGAAACAGCCCACGAGACACCTCACGAAACATTCCACGAGACACCTCACGAAACATTTCACGAGACACCCCGCGAAACATTCCACGAGACACCCCACGAAACATTCCACGACGACAGGCAACCACTCAACCAAGGCGGTGTGGTCGTGCTGGGGAGTGGTCGTGCTGGGGTGTGGTCGTGCTGGGGGGTGGTCGTGCTGGGGGGTGGTCGGGTGGTCGTGCTGGGGGGGGTGGTCGTGCTGGGGTGTGGTCGTGCTGGGGCGTGGTCGTGCTGGGGCGTGGTCGTGCTGGGGCGTGGTCGTGCTGGGGTGGGGTCGTGCTGTGGTGTGGTCGTGCTGGGGTGTGGTCGTGCTGGGGTTGGTCGTGCTGGGGTGGTGGTCGTGCTGGGGTGGGGTCGTGCTGGGGTGTGATCGTGCTGGGGTGGTGGTCGTGCTGGGGTGTGGTCGCTGCTAGGGGGGGGTCGTGCTGGGGTGGGGTCGTGCTGGGGAGTGGTCGTGCTGGGGTGTGGTCGTGCTGGGGTGTGGTCATGCTGGGGCGTGGTCGTGCTGGGGTGGGGTCGTGCTGGGGTGGGGTCGTGCTGGGGTGGGTTCGTGCTGGGGTGCTCCGCACCCTGTGATTTATCGATCGGTCGTGCTGGGGTGTGGTCGTGCTGGGGT